TACACGAACAAATACCTACAATTTCCTATCTAAAAGAGGAAAAAATGAAAATGATAACTGCACTTTCTGCCACAGATGCTCCGAGGCATTAATTCATCGTTTTTTGGTCTTGTCATGTTACATCCTCCTTTTGGAAAAGAGTGGCAGACTGGCTTCCAGACAATCTCCCAATAACCAATGAATATACTTTAACAAATATCACTACTCTTGGCCTAAGACCGGACCCCCATTCAAATTATACACTTCAACTAAACTACATTTTCCTGTTAGCTAAAACTTTGCTAAACTTGAGAAAAAGCCACCAAATTACGTTTACTATTTTCTGACGTCTCATAATCAAGTCTTAAGTTAGAGACAAAAGCGAGCAACACCAAAACATGGATTCCTCAAGATGCAGATGGTACACAAATTGCTATTTCTAGTCCCCCTGACCACCAAAATAATAGCCAACAATTTATTCCAAGATATGTTGCAGTCCCTAAAATAATTATTGCAACTATCAAAGTTTTAAGTATCTTGCTTTGCCTCAACCTTTCTTCAACTTTCTGTGTTTTCATTTCCTTGTACTTTTTTATTACTTTGTAATGCACTCTAGTAGTTGTATCGAATGAGTAATTTGCTTTGTTTGTTTTACTCAATAAAAATGGAAAAAAAAAACAAAAAAAAAACGCTATGACTCTACTGGCAAAACCAGAACAAACAACTGCCAACACTTTGCCTACGTGAAATGTTTACGTGGGAACAAGTAGATTTAATTGGCTTTTCCATTTAATTTTATTACATTAGTTTACTTTTAAACCAACAATGAATAATATATTGTGTCTGTACCTGGCCAAAATTCAAGTAGTCTGAAATCAATAGAAAACAGTTCTCTCGCCAGAAAACTGCAATAACTCTCTATTACTAAAAGAAGTCTTGCCTCAGCAAAAAATAGATTCATTTGTAACTATAGCTAATTCGAATCACTTCCCAATTTTAAACTCATCAGCACAGGTTTGTTGACATTAAGTGTCTTTGCAATTGCAAAATTAATGTAAGTTAACACTTTGAACAGTACATCATAATGTAGCAACCTTTGCCCATTACTTTTTGCAGCTATCATCACGAAAAGACCTCAAGTTCTTTTTGCCGATATGTGCATGAGAGCTGTACTGCAAAAATCATGAAATGCTGGAAAGTTTTTTTTCAAAAAAAAAAAATTAAACCATAAGCAAAGCAAGAATCGTGCTCTACCCATGGTCAAGCGGATAAAGAGTTGGTGAGGTATAGCATAGTTTTCTTCTTTTTGTATAGCTAGCCGAAGGATGCAACCAACCCATTTTGGAATATGTTTGTAAACATTTAACAGCAGATTTTCCCTCTATTTTCTGACAGGGTTAAGGCCCAGAGTAATGTCAAAGTATATATAATTAACATCAACCTTGGACAAGTAATATAGAACTGGAAACTCTCAACAAAATGTTCGTCTAGAGAAACCAGTCGATATTACCAAGATTGCAATAATTTGTCAAGAAATACGTTGACAAAGGATGCAGAGGACGAAAAGCCCGCAAATGGGTGAAAATTTAATGAAACTCGCATTAAATTTTAAGTGTTTTATTTATTTATTTAAATTTATTCAAAAGCTTAAAAGGCTGTCAGTAAATTAAAGCAAGCATAGGAAATCCTCTATTGATGAAAACGAGAGCACAAATTGTTACGTTGGGGAATTCTTGTCTTTGTCCACTGTGGCGATTTCGTGTCTTGACACATATCAGATACTGTCATCCAAGGTGATGTTACACAATTTCTGTGAGATTATGTAACATTACTTCAACAATTATGCTTCAGCTGCCAATCCGAAGATGTTTTCATTAATAAAATAATAACTTGACAAGTAACTTTACCTCTGCAATGATGCACCCGGAGCTGGACCAAATTTATTATTGACTGTGTAGCTTTTTTAGCTGATTGTGATGTGTTTATTTTGTGCAAAATTGTTGACACTGCCCAAGACAATAGAAAGTTAACCAAGGTAAAAGTTCAATAATTGAACTTGGGTAGATTATTAACCCTTTGATCAACCATGGTTTAAGTCGGTAACCAAGTCTGAGATGACAGATACCGGTATATCAAGTCCACTTGCGGTCGCATGGCATCTCGCACCCCGTGGTGTCCAGATTGCATCAATCTCATTTGGTCATGTTTTCTACAACCTTTGTTTTCATGGCAAGAAAGTAAGCCAAATCTGGACCAGCCACTTGGACAATGTAAATTATTTGAATGTATGTCTAGATAGTCTGAAGTTCTCTTCCCCCCATTTTTCAATGAAATTTCCCTGCAAAAGGGTTTCAAAGCAGAATTGGTTAGCGAAGTCATTAAAAGCGCTTCCTCTGTCAACAATTTCTGAAAGTTGCACGGCTTTGGCATTTGAATCGGCGGGTTAGCGGGTTAAATGAATGGAAACAGAAGTCACATTTAACTAGGATATAGAATATAACTAGAATATATGTTGGTCTGTAAACAAACACCTAGAAAGAATGTTCAGCTGAATCATTGGCTTATGGTTCAAAGAATAACAGCTTATTTATTTTACATGAATGTAAATGATTATGTTGTTGGGGTCCCCTTTGGTCTGAGTTCATTGACAGTAAATTAAAAATAACAAACAGAACTTAGCATTGATGCAGAGCCTGAATTATGAAATTTTTCAAACCAAAGCAAATTTCCCTTTGGGCAAGAAAGAAGATTTTTATGATTGCAAATCGGATGGGAGCTTTAAAAAATGTAAGCTTGTTCTTTTGTTTAAATTTCGAATTCATGCTGAGTTAACATCAAAACATGATACAACAGTCAAACTGAAAAAATGTTACGCAACGAATCACATGTATTTTACAAGTATATATTTTAATTAACGTATTTTAATGTAGTATACATGAACCCACAAGCTCTGTAGCTTTGATTCTTATCGTGTTGAAATAAAGGTTTCATATTAAACTTTATATGTTTATGTTATGACTGATGAGTTAAATTTTAAATCAAGTGTAACACACGTAGGGGAAATGTCATGCACATTTGAATCCTACCTACATGTAACAGCCCCTTAATGCAAACTGAAAGCACTTAAACTTAGTCAAGGGATTCAAATGGAAAAACTTGAGTAATATATTGTCCCTAAATCCATTCGAAATGGTTCCTCACAATCAAGTCAATAAAGAAAGAACTGTTCTCTGACGTTACAACCAAACTTTATGGTTGACGACATAGACTGCGAGCAGTCTCTCTTTTGTTCGAAAATCTGTGGGGAAGAATGCAAAGAATGCAACTCACATGAGTTGTGGGGTCATGAGTGTGCGAGTGTGATATACAAGCCAGCCCCGTTACTCATGGCTCATGGCTTCTCCGCTTGCCACTCTCATGTCACATTTGTTTTGCTTTCTTCATTGCGTTCTTCCCCATGGATTTCTGTGCAAAAGAGAGACTGTGCGCAATCTATTGAGGACATCAAGATCAACAATGTTTAGCTGCTTTCATGACGTTTAGGAGCCTTTAGAAGAACAGTCTTGTTGATGGGACGTTCCAGGACTGCGGACTTGGCTTTAAGCCTGACTCCTCACAAGCCGTCTCTCTTACTTGGTTTTACTTCCAGGATGTGACTAAGGGGTCACAAGTTTTCTACCACGAGTACAATGTCTCCAGTATCAAAGTAACACCTTTATCTTTGCAGTGATTGCCTTCTCACTTACAGCAATTAAACCCCCAGATACTGACTTTAAAAAACAAACTCCAACCAAATGGAATAAAACTAAGGATAAGCTCACAAGTACCCATGGCGGACCTATTTTTAATAACAGCGACTTTCAGATATGGTATGGCTAGGCTGAAGTACGGTGGCAGATAGTGAAGATCGCTTCCGGTGATGTCATGACGTACGTACCAGTACAGCTTTCCCGCCGTAGCCTTGCTTTCTACTATGGGAAAGTCCTTGGTTTCACGTACTCTTCGCTATGTGAGTAAAATGTATAGGCCTGCTGTTTACTTCTCATTTTAATGCTTTTTTCACTGTTTGAACGGCCTAGTTTGAAGATAAAGTTCTCAATCATAAAAATCAGTTCTAAGATCATTGTTTCTTTGTCATTTGTACCGAAAATTTGAACGATTTTAACACCTACCGCGAGATGATCAGTTCAGTCATATTAGTATCGGGCCGAATAGCCCTAGATAAGAAAGCTTCATATGTACTAATCTGAGCTATAATTGTTTATTACTGTTCAAAACGTATTTCATTATAATTGAAAGGTTTGTATTTTCGGGCTTATCACGTAATTGTTGTACAAACAACCTGTCTGTGTTGAAATTGAGCTTTTTATATCAGAGTTTATATTGTTTTGTGGTTGGAATAACAGGCGGTCCTATCAAGTTCTAAAAGGCAAATCTGAGTTCTAGGAGATGTACGACAGATCCAGGAGAAGGAAATCATTGTCATTAATCAAGTCTATTTTGTATGAAAGTAGAATAATCTCTGGTTTCCTTGAAAGTAGTAAAGACACATAGAGGCTGCACATACTGTTGCCGTACAGCAAAATCTTAATCATTTGAGTCTGGCGGGTAAAACACTGTTGTCAGCTGAGTCCCTCATGGTTAAAGTAGCCGTAGTAGCACCTTGCTGTAACGTATCTTGAAGTTCCTAATAGCCATCATAAAACCAGCAGACAGGAGATAACTGATATCAAAAAAAACTTCACCAAATCCACTATCAGTTGGAAATGGAATGACACTGCAAATGATATCAATGTTCAAATAATATAAAAATAGTTGTACATGTTCATGAGCCATCTTTTCAGCATACATGTATAGGACTACCATTTTCACAATGAGGGATTTGTTTTTGACACTACTCTGCTCATACCACACAATGTAAATAATACTGCTCTTTACAGTCTGGCTGTTCCTGATCGAAACACACTACTAATTGATAACAGCATGGTGTAACATGACAACGGCCTAACAATGTAACATACCTGTAACACTTCCACAGGTGTACCAAACTCTTTGCTTTCTGCAACAATGCTATAAATGATTCTTGCCAGTGGAAAATCAGATGCATTCAAACCAAAATCTTGTTTACTCTGCTCTATATAATCTTCTATTGACACATCAATGGTAACAACCACAGGAGAAGTGCAACAGTCATTAGATTCATTATTCAGCAGCATTTTAACTGCATCTTCAGTTGTTGATGAATAGTCTGGAGTGAGCTTTGATTCTCCTTCAGCATGTGCAAGCTCCCTGTGGTGGGGATTCTCTTCATCTGCTACATTTTCAAAGCTGTCATCTTTCAATGTTAGCACAATTTTACATGGATTCAAAGTCATAAAGTCATGAGTGTTAAAGGCTCTTGCAGGAAGCTGGTTAATGGATGCATATGGGTCCTTTCCACCCCGAGCCAATATAAGAGCAGTTCGTGAAGAGCGAGAAGATGTGCTACTATAGGACAGGGATGCTACTGGCACTGTAGAGACCTTACTAGCCTGTGCTTCCATACTCTGTAGCTCAGATACTTCAGTAGAACTTGTCAAGAAGTTACTGGATTCCTTCACAGACACTAGATCATAAGAACTTGTGAATTTTGCAACTGTTGACGATAAGCTCAAGCTGAAGACTTCACATTTTTCAAGCCTTTTTTCCTTTTCTCCTTTTCCACGGCCTTTCCCTTTAGCTTCACATTTCTCTTCAACTGATGGTGATGAATTACCAGTGGTACTGCTCTTTCTTGGTGTGATAACAGCAGGTTTATTGCAGTCTGTGCTCTTTTGGGATACCTTTCTGGTTGCAAATTCTCTATTTTCAGAAGTTCTTGCCTTTGCTGAAGGTAGACTGGCACTTTTTCCTTTGGTTTTCTCAGTTAGCATAGGTTTTGTTGATTGGGTTGTACCTTCATCCTTTGATAAAAGAGAAATATGTTACAATTGAGTGGAGCTTTTAGGACTACAGTGTATGTAATGATTACAAAGGTCTTCTTAAGGATGGTGCCTACTAAATAGAAAGGTTTTTGCGCCAGGTAAGGACCACGTGGCAAAAGTAGACCTTTGCAAGGGCTATTGGACTCAACAAAGAAAAATTGGGGTAGCCATGCATTTTTTCGAGATAATTTGCCTTGAATCTCAACAAAAATGCTGACATCAGCATTTTCTGAAAAAAGAAGGAAAGGATATTTCTTCACAGATTTCCTTCGAATTCGCCTTTACTAACAGAGAAGCAAACATTTATAAAGATCTTAAAACTGCATGGTAAATGGTAGCATAAAAACCATTTTTTGTATGTTTTTAATGACAAAATCGTTGCAAAACAGCGCTTTTAGTGTCTCTGACAGTCTTCCTCTGGTTCAGCTAAAATATAGTCTAAATACCTTTTGCTCACAACCAGAAACTTATCACGTGTTGAATAGGCTTGCTGCTTCCATTTCATAACATAAAATGTGTGGGTAACCACGCGTTTTTTTAAAGTTATTGACCTTTTATGAAAACTTTTACCGTGCCCGTTACATTTTTTCCTGTCACCTTCCTGGTAAGTAAAACATTTGCGTATTTCGCACTTGTTTTGCACGCACACTACGCCATCTGCAGGTACATGTTTACAGTTGGATTTCGGTATAATTTTCCACAGAAAACAGCTAGTTTTTCCGCTGGATGACGTTAACAGTTAGTGGTTAGCGATATGCTGCTATTTTGGTGTTCCTGGTTTAAGTACAAGTTCATTAAACTTGATTTGGTCACAGTAGGAAAATTTTGCGTTCTTTTAGTCGTGTACTTGGTAGCGTAGTTGATTGTGTCAGTGCCAACCGCAGCGCATGCGTGGCACTTAAACCATGCCTTGCGTGTGTGCAGAAAGTATGCATACTAACAAAAGTAGGCACCGTCCTTAAGGTATCAGTATACCCCAAAATTGACCATTTTCCAAAAAAAACATGTTTTTTATTTTTTCAGATAGATCTTATATTTGCCATCTTTCATTTAACAAATTTCTTTCAAAAAAGATTGATTCTAAGCAAAGTTAGAAGCGGAAAATGTCTCTTTAAACATCCATAATGTTTCACCTGACTGTGTCCTTGCTTAACAAAGAGGGGACCGAAGTAGTCCATACCCACATGGGTAAATGGTGTATCTGCTGGAGTGACTTAAGCTGATGGAAATGGGGCCATAATCTGTTCACCAGGACAAGCATTTTGCTTGCAACAATTCATGCAATTTGTAAAAACCCTGTGTACTGCTGAGAGACCTTGTACTATCCAGAATCTCTATCAGATGAAGGCCAGAACTCTAGAAGGACCACAGTGCCCCTGTTGGCGATGACAATTGAAAGGCCGCGCGCAAGAACGTCCCCTAGATTTTTTGGCCATTTTGAAAGTGTTCAAAAACAGCTGAATTTTGGCATGTAGGCTTCGTTGTACCTGAGAAACATTGCTCTGAATTTTTTTTGGTTGGGGCGCTCTTCGTTCCCGAGAAATAACGTATGCAAAAAGCTCAGTTTTCCAAGCGGCATCTTTTGGAGATCTTTTGTTGAACAAAAACAAAAGAAACCTTATTATTTTGTTGAACAGCAAACAGGCAGACTGTTCAGAGTGTATTCCACTGAATCTTAGCTGTCTTAAAGTCAAAGGAAAATAGTATATAGAGCGGAAATCTGGGAACNATACAAAAATATACAAAAATTAGCCAAATTCAAAATGCAGATGTCAGAATTGAATATAGCAGCTTGCCCAGTTTGAATCTGAGTGGTTCAAAATCTGTTTCAATAAGCCCTTTGTATGATCCAGTCACATGGTATGAAATTAGTTATGCAAGGACTCAAGTTACATAGTGGAACTTTCAAAACAAAGGAAAGTTGGGCTTGTCCCACTGTGTAACTTGCATCCCAGCATGGCTAATTTTGTACCATGTGACGAGATCGTGCAAAGGGTCTATTGGTGCATTCAAAAGATATGACATTTACTGAATTTTGAATGGATGAATGGCAAACTTCCCACCCACATTGTACTTTTCAAGTTTTTCAACAGAGAATATCTTATTAATTTTAATGTTCAATGTGTTCCTCTCAAATTTTCTACAGATTTCATGCTGCAAAGATGCTATCAGTTGATAACATCTATGGTTTCTTGTTTTAATTTGTTTTTTTTTTATGGGCTTGAACCCAAGAGTGCTCCATACTGAGTCAAGCACACTGAACCTCCTATAAAAACTCCCTTAAGCTTATTCATTGTCATCTTCCTTGAAATTCAGGCATTAGTCATGTCATTCTACTTAAATGATCAAACTAAAGTCTTAATGATGGCTGAATTACATGTGGGTATGTAAGGAAATGACAAATTTACTTTATACTCAATCCATAGCTTGCTCATGCGCTGGACCATAAAACTAATCCCTTTTAACCTCACAAGTACACTGTCTATTAACATAAAGTGATATTTTCAACAATACAATACCATAGCCTGCAACTGCTTTGTGGGCATATTACTCACCTCGATTGTTTGATTTGTCTGTTGTTCAGTGTTTTCTGATACATCCATGTTTAATATCTCATTGGGAATGTTTACCTCAACAGAAAGCTATAAAAATAATCAAAATAGCTATGATTATACTTTTACTAGTCGACACACCTCAACCAACAGAGCTATAAATTAATTATGATCAACATTGGACATGATTAACACAAGATATGATTCACCACACATGGCTTTCAAAAAGGGCGTCTCCAAGTTCTCAAAGATTGTGTTGTTGTTCTCCATTCTCCCTTAAATTTGATGTTTGAGTACCTTCCATGCACTTGTACAAGACAGAAGCAGAAGCAACAAAACAGGTTTCACATTGAACAATCGACACAAAACTCTATATCTTCCAGTAAAGGGCCCACAACTTTACTCCAATGAGTATTCCACAGAACTTTGAGGAAATGAACCAGACTAACCCATTGCACCATTGACAAAGCTGGGGTGGGTCAGACATTTACACCAAATGAAAGAGTTGTCTTTGACCATGCAAAAAGAGACCAAAAGGAATGAAAACCTCATCAAAATACACCTACAAAATAAACGGTATGAGATAGGGGTACCTTTAAGCTTTGATATCAGAAAAGAGATCAAGAAAAGTTGTTGCTGAAGTAAAGTTTTCAGAGTTCTTATGGTGCTGCAGCAAGATCTATTGAGAAAAGCCCAAACAATACGATCTTGCGTGGCCCAAAGCTTCAAACAAAAATTAAAGGAGGCTCTGCTCTGTTTTTTTCCCTCCCATTAGATGGTCTCTCATCTGATATATTTATTTAAGTATCCACATATAGAGGCAACTTTTAGTCAGACCAAAGGACAAGTACAGTTGAACACCACATTTTCTCTCTGGGGTGAAGTGGAAAATAGTTTGAAATAGGGGGAGTTCACAATGACTGAAGGGAAAATGGGTGATTCCAGAAAATATCCATATCTATACTATGGATGGTTTTTTGGAATTCTATTGGCAAGAGGGGTTCTTTGAACCCAAAATCCAAAGGCATGGGGTGATACTCACAATGAAAATTCCCAGGGAATGGGGGGAAGGGTTTCTAGAGGGGACAGACAAGTGTGCGAATGCAAAAACAAACTGACGACCACAGAAGGCAAGATACAAGACAAGCATCAATCAATCATGTATGTGTTCACTTTAGTTTACAGAAGAAAACTGATAAAGTCTGAGTTGTACATTAGGCTCCAGATCCTTAAAGTGGACAAATTTCTTGTTGGCAATTGGTGAAGCTAAAGTACAGGTCCCAGGTCACAAAATACAATAATTTTCTTTCAGTTCTTAACATGATCATTGTTGAAAACAAAGAATAATGACAGGCCTACACAGACTCTCCTCATGCATTGTGGTTGTGACACATCAGTTAGCCTTCAATTAGATGAGCATATCTTTAAGAGATTTGGCTCTCTTCCACTATATAATTTGGAGGTTCCATATAGATCGTTTTCACTGTCACACAATATTAAAAAATTAACCGAAAACCATCCCGTAGAAAAAGCTAAGAAATTGTAATGCTATAGAAGATAACTAAATAAGACACTTCTCCAAGTTCTATCCCTGAGTGTTTCCCAAAACTTCAAATATTTGTCAAAATGTTTTGCAGAAATTTATGGAGCCTAGTATGAAAACACCATATTGGTGTAGATCCATGCTAAACCAATATGGCGGCTGGAAAATAGTGTAAACATCTGGAACTTACTTTGGCTATCTAGGTGACTGATTATCAGCACTGAACAAACAAGCATTTACATAGATTACCCACTTTTCGTAATGCTCTAACTTCTAAAAAGGCTCAAAATCATGAGATAAGTATACATATTTCAACAAACTTGTGTCACAAACCTCCATAACCCTTAACTTCAAAATGCTGTAGTTTCCAAGTGAAGCATGCTATAGAGCTATAAAATTGTAAACAGATGTAAATATACCGCCTCCTATGCTAACTTATGCTAATTAGAGAAAAAAATAAGTTTTATGCATATCTTTGCTTTTAGATTCAAGATACACGGACCAAACTTTATACGAAGCTTGCTCTTGATAACATCCAACATATGACTTAAATTGGTTACCATGGCAAGCAGCAATGACATCAGGATTAACTGCCTGCTATTTTGGTGGCAGCTATCTTGGATCTGCCATCTTGGATTTTCGAACTCTCATACCTCTAAAGCAAAAAAGTACATTTTTAATAAACTTTAACTAACAAATGATTACATGCACTGCTCAAGTTGATGAGTTTCTTTTCAGGGTTTGAAATTGCGGAAACACGCCTAGAGTTTGGAGTCTTATGGCTGACATTTTTTTCACTTAGGCCTGGTTTAGATATTCAATGTTACCGGCGAATCAAACACCAATTTGAGTTGCCTTGAACCGAAAAATGCAGCATTTGATTTAGACATCGCATTTTACATGTGCCAAACTGAATTTATGAGCGCAGGAATACAGTGATGGGCATAATAAAGATTAGTTTTTTTCCTCCCAGTGACAAGTTTGTAATGGATATTATTTGGGCAAGGCTAATGCAGAGAATGGTGCACATCTGGATAAAGTGAAACACTTTATTCGTATCTTTGATTTGTTTAGAGAGGTCCTCCACGAGCGCAGTCTAGAGATGGTTAACATCTATGACGACATCCACTCCTGGTACTCTGAAAAGATCAAACCACAAGAGCATGAAGAACAAGGACTTGACGATCTTGGACAATTTATGATAGAGTACCTCAAGCAAGTGGACAACCTGTTACAGCTCACCCATGCTTGGACTGGGAAAGCTACCTGGCAGCATTGGAATGCCTCATAAAGTACTTGTTTGCACACAATCTCCTCAACTATGCTCAGCTAATGCCAGTCCACCTCGCGCAGATGAACGCACTCAAGTATGAGGACCTTATGACATGGCAGGCATTGAAGTCCAGGGATTTTGTTATAGCGAAGTCAGAGATCTCGTTCCCGAGGTTGTTCAGAGATCACACGCTAGAGCAGGAGATCAAAGTATTAAAGCATCACAGTTTTGTGGTCGGGTTAAGTTGAGACAAAGCCACCCTAGACCGCTTTCTTATCATGTCACCACATCTTGCCTGTATGATAAAGCAGTATCTCAACAGCTTTCCTAAAGTATACAAGGCTTCTGAGCAGAACAAGAACTATCAGCTCTCTGGGGATGTTGCTGTAAGAATGCGAGAAAATGTCATGAAACTCCGCCAGTCGATAGAGCTGCACTGTAAAGGCAACCCATTTACAGTTGAGTCTCCCTTGAAGAGTGTGGTGTTGTCAGCTCTTGTGCCAGAAAAAGCAAAGGAAGATATCCTTTGCTCCGCAGAGAAAGGCCAAAAGCATATTGAAGAATTCGCTGAAGACAGACTGTTGCTATCTTCTAAGCACTCCTTATGGGACGCTATGAAAAAGCTGAAACTGAAGACCTTCTCAAAAACTAAAGTTCGTGTAGGGGACAAAGTCATCAAACTATGCAAGGAATGGGGGTTTCTCATAATCCAAGGAAGTAGGCCAGACCTTGTGCCAAGATTCAAGGAAACCATCGGAGGGTATGAGATTGCAGTGGTTCCACATTCCTTATGCACTGTCAATGGATCTCTTTATATTCCAACTGACAAAGCCAGCTGCATAATGCATTTGATAGATGAGGCCAGCCCACAGCCACAATGAGAAACACCACCAGCAACAGGAAATCTACATTGAATACTTGTTACTGATGCCATGGGCTTTGTTCAAGGTAACTATAACAACAACAATGACAACAACAATGATAATAACAATAATAATAATGACAATGATAATGATAATGATAATGATAATGACAATGATAATGATAATAATAGTATGCTGGACAAAACTGTTCTGGATCGGCGTTTTACAACAAAAAAATAAAACAAAAAAAGTGACACATATAATGTTGTGACTGTCTTAAACTTTACTAAATTCCACACATGGAAACTTGCGTTTATGTGGATCAAGCAAGAAAGGCTTGTGTTACACCTTGTCCAAATTTGGCAACTGAGTCACAAAACTTTGCAAAATCACGTGATTTCTGAGAAAAAAGAGTCACATTTAAAGTGTTGTTGTGCAAAGAAACTCTTTATGTGCTGGTGGATTTTTTTGTCAAGATTTTGACAAGAAAGCATGAGAAAGACTTGCAACTGATTTGGGGGAAATATGATACTGTCTTCAGAAAGTACTCTTCTTTGAAGTCTTTAACCTGTTCTTTCCACAAGATCGACCTGTTTTGAAGATGGCTGCCTTTAATTTGCGCTTCGCACAAGCCACAAGTGCATAAAAGACTGCTGTGTTAAAGCATTGTTGGCTGAGAACCTCAGACACTGCTATTTGTGCTTTCAGAAACATTTCCGGACCTGTTTCTGGGCTCATCTGCCAGGAGCTTCCCATTTTCTCGCATTTTCTTGCATAACAGCTTGACATAATTTTGTTAGGTTTGCCTTGTGGCCCTTCAATGGTAGTATCACAACTTGAATCTTCGATTCCCTAAACTGCTGATGTATCACAGGATTATCATACTGTTTAGATGAATTATTGCTCCATCCTCATGCTATCTCGTCGAATTCATGTAAAAAATCCACAAACACGTAACCATTCTCTTTGCACAACAACACTGGTCTAACACTACGATGTTGATATAAACCATGACTTTGCTTTTCTCCGAAATGGCACAATTTTCTGTACTTTTGTGATTCAGCCCGCAAATTTAGATAAGCCATAACACAAGTCTTCCTTGCATGGTCTATATAAAAAATTAACAACTTTCCATGCATGGAATTTAATAAGGTTTAAGACAATCAAAATATTATTTGCATTGCTTTGCTTGTTTTAATTTTTTGTCGTAAAACCTTGATCCAGAACAGTTTTGTCCAGCGTACTTATAATAACAATAACCATAATCATAATGATAATCATAATCAAAAAAAATCATAATCATAATCATAATCATAATCATAATCATAATCATAACAGGATTTTGTATAAAATTTGGTATTTATGATTTGTATACAGGTCTGAAAAAAAGCACTATCCTGAAGATTTCTGACCTCCAAGAATCATTCACCAAGCGTATTGAACGAATGGTGTCTGGTTTTGATGAAGACCGAGTAGCATTTGATTGCTACTTGGAAAGCTCCTTGAAGAGCAAGACATGCCTAAAAAGATCCACAACATCTGTCAAGTTCCAGATACATCCAGAAATGGGGCTCACCATGTCCGTGATCCACCAAGAACCTTCTGTCATTATCAAAGTCCAAAAGCATGCTGGTCACTTTGTTCGCCAATGGAATTATTAGCGCACTTCTCCAGCAACACAGCCATCAAGCTGGTTTTGTTTTATGATAACAAAATCAAACATCTTGCCTGTGAAGGAGAACACACCCACGAAGAAGAGAACACGCTCATCCCTAACCAAGTGTTGCATTCCCTAAATGAGCATTTGCCGCACAAGATTTGTGTATCCTTGCCAGACACTGACGTACTAGTCCTGCTGCTCGACTTGGTTTCCAGGGGACATCATGTAAGCCTGAATAGGCTGATGTTTTTGACAGGAAAGGGCCTAAACTACAGAGAGATTGATGTTATTCAGAGAGTCTGAGCGATTGGAATACACAAGTGACAAGGTCTGATTGGATTACACCACTCACCTGAGCCGACTGGGGAGGGAAGTTTGTTGGCATCACTAAGAAGACCTGGGTGAAAGCTTACATGGCATTCGATGATGATCAACCCGTGATCAACTGTTTCAAAGAGCCTGGAGTGGGTCTTATCCAAAACCAATTGGCCAACAGAGAACTGCCGACTCAACTAAAAACCTAGAGAAATTTGTCTGCCAAGTGTACTGCAAAGCGTGACCTACCACCCTTCCTCAACTTCCATGGAAGCTCTTTTGATCGAGGAACTTGGAACAGGGCTCCACACTATCTTTTCAACTTACTAGCCTAGTGACTAGTAATAACTTAGATGTTACTAGCCAAAACCTTTTTTACTAGCTAAGTGTTTTGTTTGGCTACCTTATTACTTGAAATTTTTGCGACACGTTTATTTCATGATTTGGGGGTGCGCATATTTCGTGACACTTAAGTTTGGCGATTTTACAAAAATTTTGTATTTTGAATCACTCTATCTTTGCGTTTTTGAGTGACACAAAATTTATTTCCTTGGCAATGTTACTTAAACATGTCTTTGAATTTAGTAAACTGACTTTATCAAAGGTACAATAATGTCAAAAGTAACAAAAA